AAAACCTCTTCATCTCCTACCTGAAGAAGCCTTCTTCTCCGATGATTGATAGCAGCGTCATAAATTGCGCGAGCGTGGCTTGACATCTTCAGGTTCAACCGTCCCTTTCCGAACCTGAATTGCCTCTTGGGTCGCTTTGGCACCCCACTTTTGTCCTTAGGCACCCAACCCTTGGTGAACAGAGACAAAGAGACACTGTACAACTTTGTGTTGTTAGTCCTAATTTATTATTAATAGGGACATATCCACCACTGCCAGTAATATAAATCAACAATTAGCAGGAGGTCACCCATAAAGATGAGCAGGGGCAGGGATTTTCGACACCAATTAATTCATTCGCTTATTAGAGAAACCTATAATTGGTGGACATTGAAGATTACTTAAGCACTATTGAATGAAAAAAAAAATTTGCTAACTACTTAAGTCTTCCATAGGCAATTTCCTTATTGGATTTATTAAGAAAATTATAAATTTTTGTTTGGGCTTTTTATAAATAAACTCATTCTAACATGACATTTTTTTCTCTTGAAAGTACAACGTGGAGTTTTTCTAAAGTATTGGACTTGAACAATTTTTTTTTATAGAATGTCATGTTGAAATTAGTTTATCTGTGAAAAGCTATTTTTGTTATTTTTGTGTAACAAAAACAAAAAGTGAATACTAATATGTAGGTACATGAGTCTGCTACCAATATATATATATATATATACACATATATACAATCCCCTTCTACTGAGGGATCCCTTAAATAATATTTGAGGGACACCCTTTGAGCCACTATAAATTTTTTTCAATAATTCAAACAATCTAAACTTTCAAGTCTACATTCATAGATCATTTTTGGAAAAAAAAAAAAAGATAAATCGGAAACCGTTTTGACATCTAGTTGTGTCCAATAAATTCGATGAACACGGTGCTTCAAGAAAGCACTAAAATTACAATCATTTGATTGAGTGGTCAAATAATATTGGATTGGAGTGATTTTTTACAGAGATGATCTTTGAATGAATATTTATAAAACAGACTATTCAAATTAGTGAAATACAATACGAAGTGAAGACAAACCATGAATCAATTCAAGATCAGAACATTTTTTATGAGCGGAAGTTAGAAATGAGTCTGAAAAAGTAAAAAGAGATGCAAAGAAAGAAATACATGCAGAAAATTATAATTCGTAATTAATCATGTAAAAAGTGCAAAATTGCGTAAAATAAGGGAGGTAAGTTAGATGGAGAATTTCCAGAGTACATGAGAGAGACAGAAATATTTTTTGAGCATGCAATTAACGATGCTAATTAGTTTCGTAATTAGTAGAGAAGAAACATATTTAATAGGTATAATTAATTGGTGGACACACCTCACCCCCGCACTCACCTACCCCACCAGGCGGGGGCCCCAATTTTAAAGAGAGTGCGTTGTTAAAGGGGAAAAGACAGATTCGATCTATGACCGTCGACGACACCAAAACCAAAAGAGGGGGTGAAAATTCAAAAGTCCATTTACGCTAACAGTGGTAAAATAATAAAATATAAGAAAAAGTTTGACTCCTTCAAATTTAGGAGTTCATACTAAAAAAACAAATGGGATTTTGACACTTGTCTGATTCCTTTAACGTTTTTCTCTTTTGAATTTCTCTTACATTTTTTCTTTTAGAATTTGATCGTTACTTGTGAAGAACGAGCTCGCCCTTAATTTTAAGGAAAATACTAAGCTTACCATATTTTTATACCACATTGTGTACTACCTCTCTAATAAAAGTAGGCCCTATTGTATTGGTGGGCTCCATCTCTATTAGAGAGGTGGTACATAATGTGGTATAAAAATGTGGTAAGCTTAGCATTACTCTAATTTTAAAAGAGCATTTTTACTCACCATTTTAATCTAAGAGTTTTTCTATTTAAACCCCGCACGTACCTTTGTTCACCCCATATTCTAAGTTCACACCAACTTCTAATTCAAATTTTCACAATTTCTAAAAAAACTCTACTATCTTCCCAAGCTACCCCTAAATATACACCCAGCAGAAAATAAATAAATAAAAACTTATCAACCTCACACCCCACACCCCACACCCCACACCCAACACCCACTTCAATCTCACATTACTTAAAGGGATAAAAACATTGTTGTCAAATGTGTAGTAGCATTACTTTTTTATTATTTCTTTCCTAGATAAAAACACATTTACCAAACTCTCTTTGCATTTATAGAGCTGTACTAGATACAGATGAGAGTTGGGGAAGAGGAGCCAACTTTGCTACCAGATGCAAGATGGTCCCCCTGGATTCCAGTAGTGTAGAAGCAATTAATTTACCACACACAATGTAGAAAAGATTTTCATGCTGAAATTCACTGGCAAAAGGGAGTAATAAATATTGGTCTTTGTTGAGGCTAAACCATATTAGATCAAGAAAATATTATACGAGTGTTCTTATAATAATTTCGATTATCCCATTATTAGTGGCTATCTTGAGGATAATTCAATATGTAGGCAATGCATCTATACATTTTCTCCTGTTAATGTATGTAGCCAATGCATCTCATTTACTGTACAAAGTTAGGAACTCAAAGAGACGCTACAAAGCTTCTTTTTTGGTATAGTTCTCACCTTGTTTAACCAAAATATTGTGGAATGAAAAATGTTATGCAGGCAGTCCAATTCTCATCTTCTTTTACTAATTATTTCGACACATCACATGGTTAGTTGTGATGTGCCAATAAGAAGAGTGGTGGGGTGTGTGGGTTAAGTATGAAGTTGGATGACATTTTTTGTTTTTTTACACAATAATAAAATTTAAATGTTAGGGTGAACAAAGAAAATGTAAGGTTTAAATAGAAAAACTCTTAATCTAATGTATACCCTCACCACATCAATGCAATCATAATTAACTTTTTGTTTTTGTTTTTTCTTAATTATTAAAGAAAAACCAAAAGCCAACAACCCCACCCACCCATCTCATTTCTCTCTATCTCTTCCACGTGTAAAGAAAGAAAGAAAACCTAAAAAAAATTTAATATTGTCATCCTTATCAAGAAAGAAAGCAAGCTGGCAAATAATGCGTGGCTGTTCCGGATGCTGCTTCTCTGTCTTGATCATTTCTAATGATATCTTGGATGGATTTGGTGTCCACTGGATTGTCTACCATGGGCTCTAGACTTTATTTTAGACTAAAGATTAGTACTGCAATTCCACACACAAAAGCGAGAGAATATTCTGATATGAGATTGTGTGTGTTAACATTTTAGAAAGAGGAAAAATCAACCTTCCATCACGTCCTATCTCAATTGTTGTGGAGCCAAACAAAACAACATAATTAACTATCAAAGCAATAAAAACATGAACTATCTTGAAAGCGGTGATCTATGCAAATGCAGAGACATTGAATATATGATTCAAATCTTGAAAACGTTGGCCTCCAATTCTTAGTATTTTGCTACTTGTGTGTACGTAAAAGAGAAATTAGAGACTGTTTCGTTACAATAATGATTCTAATTAATGAGGCACCCAACAAAGTTTGTTATGTACAAGTTAATATTCTTGTAAATATCCCTTCACGTGAGGGACATGTGTGGTCAAAACTTAACGGAATTGGGAGAAATTGAAACGTGTCCTTAAATTGATCCGAATTTAAAAATACAAGGATAAATTACCAAAATTAAAACTACAAGGTCCAAAGTTGTAAAACCGGTGTTGTAAAGAAAGTGGTGGAGACCACATAAAGAAAAGAAGAAAATAATATTCAAAAGGTAAATAATGATGCTGGGCAATGAAGACTTTGGAGATGCATTGTCTGCCAATTCATTCACTATACATCCACGGGAAGCCATCCAATTTGCCTATAAATAGGCTTGCTCATTCAGTTGTAGAATACACTGATCCAAAGAGAAAACAGAGAGACAGAAATTCGAGAGTGTGAGAGCTTTATTTTAGAAGAGTTTTATCAGAGGGAGAAAGTTCTGTCAGTGTAAAAATCACAAGAGCAAATACAATTTTACTCCCAATATTCAGTGGTATTTTTCATACTCTGATTATTATTTTTATAACATGTTATCAGCACGATAGTCTCTCCTATTTACTTCTAAATTTTCCCTGCTCAACACTATGTGGTTATTTCTCTGTCTCCCCTCTGTCATATGTCTCCTCTCACTTTACTACTACGACGACATGCACACTTTCTTTTTCGTATTCTCACAATTTTTATGTTGTTTCATCCATGTTTGTTTAATTTATTTTTTCGTACTGTAATTTGGAATGGTCCTGTTTTATACCCTATCTTGTTATTTTATGGTGGTGTAATTTCATTGCCCATCATGTTGTAACACATATTATCGTAATAAAAATGATGGTGTGATCTTAAAACCCATCTTATTATATCTTGAATAGTGGCGCAGTTATATTACCCACAATATATAATATGTTATATACTTCATATACATTAGGTGGTGGTTTTATCCCCACATTTACTGTATGGTTTAGGTTTATTATCCATACAGCAGTATTTATTTAAAAGTGTGGCGCGAGTTTATCGTTCACACAACTGCCTTTAACATTTACTTTATTTACTGTATGGTGTAGGTTTATTACCCATACAACAGTATTTATTTAAAGGTGTGGCACGGGTTTATCGTCCACACAATGCCTTTACTTTTTATTTAAAAATATAGAGTAGAATTAGTGCAAATACCAGCACATTTACTTTATCACACATTTAATTTTATTTAAAGTATGGTGCGAGTTTATCATCAATACCAGCAAATTTATTTATAGCACTTTATTTTTATCATCAGTTAATATATATATATGAATAATGAGGGCCTAAAGTTCCTCAAACAATTAAAGGCCCTGAAGTTCCTATTAAGAAATGGCTTAATGTCCCAAATCCCGAACCTAAAGTTTCAGGTAAAATATGCAAGATATTTTTGTCCTGAAGTTCAAAAATATATTAAGTCTAAAGATTATTGAAAATTCTGATACATCTCAAATTTTTTTTTTTTTAAAGATGGTAAACTTGGCAAAACTGGAATTTGCTGCCTTGGACTATTGTACATTTATGGGAACAACTATCTATCATAGGTCCTGGGAACAACTATCTATCATGGGTCCTGGATGCCAAGATCCATCTGCATGCTAACAGCCTTGGAAAAATAATTGTAGATGGAAGTGATGCATCACCTGAAGAAAAGGCAAAGGCTATGATTTTTCTTCACCGTCACATTCATGAAGTGCTGAAAAATGAATACGTGGCGGTTGATGACCCATTGGTTCAGTGGAAAGCCTTATGCAAAAGATACAATCACCAGAAGAAGGTGACCCTCCCAAGAGCCAGATACGAGTGGACACACTTGAGATTCCAAAATTTCAAGTCAGTGTCTGAGTACAACTCAGCAATGCACAGAATCACCTCCCTGATGAAATTATGTGGTGAAAATATCTTTTGAGAAGGATATGCTTGAAAAAACTCTGAGTACCTTTTATGCCTCAAATGTGCTCCTGCAACAACAATATAGGCATAGTGGTTTTACAAAGTACTCAGAACTGGTATCTTGCCTTTTGTTGGCTGAGCAGAACAATGAGCTTTTATTGAAAAATCACCAATCTCGCCCAACAGCCTCAGCACCACTTCCTGAAGTAAATGCTGCATCTCAGGAAGTGAATGTCATCTCATCCCGTGACAGTATCCACAGATATGGGCAAGGAGGCAAGCGTGGCCGCTGGCAAGGGAATAAAAAAGATCGTAGTGCCCATTCATATGGCTTGGGTCCAAGGAGCAATCTATCCACAAGCGGCAAAAATGCATCCCGAAACAAGGGGAAAGCACAAACAAGCCATGTGCCTAGAAATGTTGAATGCGCTTGTCACAGATGTGGCGCAAAGGGACATTGGGTGCGTACATGCCATATGCTGAAGCATTTGGCGGATCTTTATCAATCTTCACTTAAGAATAGGAAAATGGAGACAAATTACATTGATCATGTTATACCAGATCTGCCAGCCACAGATGGCTCATCGGAAATATCAACCAATTCAATATTCAACAGATTCATTCACCAAAATAAGTGATGACTAAGTTATAGATTCAAAGATTCAACATATTCAATATCCAAATCCTAATCAACCAAATCAATATATAGAGTTCTAAGGAAGCTGCTTGCTTGAGGATTATATATATATAGTAGCTAGCAGACATGGATGATGGTGTTGTCAGTTAGAATAGGTGAATCTTTGTCTACTTTCTGACTGGGGGGTTTTGAAGAGCGTTGAGGTTAGATCATTGGTCATGAATGTTATTTGGTTTAAAGAAGTGGGTTTTGGGTAGTTGGATTTTAAATGTTGTTGGTTGGATCTGATTTTGGGATTTGGAAAAGGTGAATGTTGTTAGGGTTTTCATGCAGATAAACAACAAGGGGAGAGATAGATAGATTTGGCTAGGTGGGTTTGGGTGAGGTTTTGGATTGTATCTGTTGGATTTGAGGATTGTTTTTTTTATTACTTATCAGGGAAATCTCAATCTAAGACACTACACTGCTCTACAGCAACAACAACCAAACAAAGAACAAGAAAGAGAGATGAAAACATTATACTTCAGGTATTCGGTACGGTACGGTACTGACCGGTACCAAATACCTGGTACCGCTACCATACCATACTCCCTTGATACAGTACGGTATCGTACCGAATATCTCCTCAATCCAAATGAAACGGTATGAAACCAGTTTGGTACGGTATGTTTAGTGTATGGTTTCAGTATTTTGGCTTTAGATGCCCAGTCCTAATGGACGCAATCACATTCCGTTACTTAATAAGTTTGGCGGTTTCCATTACTACACGACATGTGTGAATTCGTCGTCTCATTTGGCCAATATTCTTACCAAAGCATTGGGAAAAGAAGAATTCAACAATCTTTTTCGCAAGTTGAGAGTTCTGATATCCACTCTCCAACTTGAGGGGGAGTGTTAGGATATCAATTTGTAAAATATCAATTAGTATCGTTCCTTTTGTAATTTGGATTTTACTTTCCTAGTTAGTCTCATAGGTTGCAAGATTAGTTTCCTTCTACATTAATATACTCTTGTATAAATCAATTGTACCTATCAATGAAAAGATCATTCTGGTGAATATCAAATTCACAAAAGGTCATGGAAGTCGTATGACGTAAACTTGTGTGTGTATTAAATATCATAGCCTTGAATTTTTTATAACGTTCTTTCTAACTATCTCCTTTGGTTTAGTGGAGTTGTCTCCACTCTTTTGGGATGTCTCAATTTTGATTCACACACGACAATGACATATTTTTAGAATAAGTTGAGTAGACTCAACGAAAAATCTATTGAATTTGATGCACTAATCTTTTTGAGGTAAAACTGCACGTATTAGAGATTGTATGGTTACAATAATTGGTCGAAAGAAGCTCTCACCAGAGTATCTTATTTACGAGTTAATATTCTTGAAATTCTTCAAAACCTGACATTAATTTATGGTTTCTTATACTAGTGCCAATGAAGATGTGTTGAATAAATGCTGATTGTTTGAATCAACAGACCTGGATGGATGGTTGTGGGTGAAGTTATCCCATATACTTGGTCCTCCACCATCTAGGTTTGTAGCACCTTCCAACTGAAATATTGTGCACACACACATATATATATACCAAATGAAGATGCCAATATTCCTGCATGGATTATGCTAACTGATCGGATTACATTAAACCTAAGTAACTATAGGAAACACAAAATAAAACAAATTTAAAGAGTACGTATGTAATTAAGCCCCAAATTAAGAGACTGACTAGATAAGATGCGGTAGCTGTGCCGAATGTGAACCCAGGTACAAGAGAATCGAAATCGGTCCGGTTGAGATTTGCACAAACAATGGGTCGATCTGTCTTGGAAGCACTGGTATTTGCCAATGCAAAGCAAAGGAGAAGCAGCAGCACACGCAAGAGCAAAGAGCGCAATTGCATTGCCATAACTAAGTCTAAGTGGAGGATTGGGTCTTCCTGCTATATGGCATGGGTTTTATATAGAGGGACTAGGTACCTACTACACGTGAAACTAGTAAATCAAAACGTACAACACTTAACGTCCATCTAAAAGATGAAGCAAATTTAGTGTAAATAAGGCAAGTGTAAATCAGTGGGTCATATACTTGATTTGGAAAGATTGATAAGGGCAAGTTGCTAAACAAGGCTAGCCTTCGGATAAGATTGTTTGGTGGTGGTTGTTCTGGGGAAATCTATCAGGGATGGGATTGTTCTGGAAAAGTTAAATAAATAAAAATATTATATAAAATAAAAAGAGTAGGGTAGCAACGCACATCATGATATTAGTCGATATCAGACTGTAAGTATATTTTCCGTCTAATACTTATGCACTTATGTTATTACAGACAGGCAGGGACCAGCCTTGTCTAGGTAGGGCTGAAGACCGACCCAGTTTTTTTGAAAGTTTCCCCTACCTATATATCCTAGCCAGCCCAGTCTTCAAATTTTTTTTTTTCAATTGCAGAGGCAGCTACAAGAAGATGATGCGAAGAAGATGGGTTCAGCGAACAAGAAGCAGTAAACACTAACACAGGTCCCACTAAACAATAACAACAAGACAGGTCCCACTAAACAGTGACATTGCTTGGGTCATATCAGGGGAGCCCCACGCATTTTCTTTCATGCGTTAATTTTTATTTATTTTTATTGTTTTGTGGGAATCTATGTCGTATCGATCCCTCTTGTAACTTCAGCTTTAGTACTTCTATTTTCTTCAATTTATCTTTGTGTTGGGGGAAAACAAAGAGAACTGAGAGATTTCAGGATTTAACTAGTACACACCAGTACATATAATAGATCTAACTAATAGAACTAATGTGTTAATTCAATAATAATTCATATAAATTGTTTATACCATGTCTGACTAAACAACTAGAAGCAACTCTAAGCAAGGCAAAGAGTCCCACATTAGAATATTACAAGAAATAAAGACCCCCCTCACCTATAAAAGGAGACCACTCTTCACTTAAGACAGGATCCTTAGGTTGAGTTTGAACTTTAGTCATGTGCTTCTCTCTTCTTCCCTTTATATTTGGGCCCAACTCCTAATACAAATGTAAATACACATTATATCGTGCCCAAATCTTCACACACATGATTGAAAGTCCTCACCTTCACCCATCATCTATCACACCTCATCTCTAAGTTGGACTCAATCTTGACCATCCATTTTGAAGCATCAACATAAATTAATAAAATATATTATTAGAGTTTATGAAGTATCAATTAAGGATTTACAATTTTTTATTTAAAAAAATTATATGTAAATTTTTTTTTCGGCTTGGCCAAAACATTTGATTGTACAGATTTTGTAATTAAAAATAAACAAATGAAAGTAGGTCAGCCCCTTATAGTCCCCTAAAATTCCAATATATTTTTAATTGTAATCATTCATGTTTTACGCCATAAAGCTTTAATCCTAAAAATTTCTACATTTTTGGAAAGAAAAAAATAGCTTCTACATTTGTAATTGTGTAATTTGTCTGAGTTTATTTCTTTTGTTGGTTAGTATGAGTTTCTGTTTTGGTTAATTAATATAGGTTTTGTGTTTTTAAAAAAATTGGAAATTTGTACACATCGATCCCATTGATTATGTTCCTCCCTTCAATGCTTGTACGTAAGGTAAATCTAGCCCACCCTAATTTAAAATCTTGGGTCCGTCCCTGATTACAAGAAGTAAAGACCCCCCTCAGCTATAAAAGGAGATCACTCTTCACTTAAGACAGGATCCCTAGGTTGGGTTTGAACTTTAGTCATGTGCTTCTCTCTTCTTCCCTTTATATTTGGGCCCAACTCCTAATACAAATGTAAATACACATTATATCGTGCCCAAATCTTCACACACAGAGAGATAAAAAACATGAACAAAGAGCCAATCATCCCTGCTACAAGCCAATCAACCATGCCCTTCAATGCTTAATTAAAGCAAACCAAATTAATCTTCAATTATTAATCTTCTTTTATTGTCTTAATTTGTTGATGTTGAAATTTGGGGACTTTT